TTTTTTTATATTAGAAAACTTCATCACATAAACATAATTTAGTAGTTATTGTTTTAAACTTTGTATTTAAATTTTGCTAGTAATTAATAATTTAGTTCTGATAGTATCTCAAACATTTGAAATTATTGACAGTCATTTCGTATTATTTCTGTGAATTTCCTAGTTAATTTATCATTTCAAATTTAAACATTCCTCGTGGGATCGATATTTGGGACTCAAATGGAAAGTCTTATATTACTTGATAATGATACGTATATTTGCAATGAATCCCAACATTAAATGCTTAACGTTCTTATTTATAAAATATCATATCAAGATTTTGACATGTTCTAGAGCGGAGTCAGCTTTATAAGTTTTACACAACTATATTTCCGGGCATCGGTATCTAAACTTTCTTTATCAATGAGCTTATTATTTCTATTGGTTTAATGATTTCCTAATTTGTCCTATATTTTATTTTCTATACATATTATATATTTTTCATTTGTATGATTCATTGCAATTTATTTTTCTTTAGTAGATTATATTTTATTGATTTATTTTTTTTTATGTTTGAGCAATTTTTTTCAGGATAACAAAGATTTATTACAAAAAATCTAGACCAAAAAATCATACTTATAACTAAAATTTCAATGTAGGTTAATCTAGTGTAAAATCTATAAAATACTAGACAAACAATTTCATATTGTACAATCCTAATTTTTTTGTTTATCCAGTCATATAACCATTATAAATTAAGATGTTAAGGCATGGTGAAGAAATCAATTACATTGTATGATTACATCACAGAATACAATCTATCTTTAGTTGAAACCATTCTATTTAATCTTGATCAATAAATGAACTAATATTACTATATGATCCACATTGTATGATACGATCATCTAGTGTAAATATCTTTTCCAAACTAACCCAAATTTTACTCATACACCGACCTATACTCCCAATTATTTGAGAATGCCGCGCGAGTAAACTCATTTTCCAAGCTTCTAAGAGTGAGGTACTTGATCATCAACATATGTTCGACAACACCAATAATTTCAAGATCTTGATGATACCACCAACACAAGCAACGTAGAAATTATTCCATCACCGATTCAAAATCAATACCACGAGCAATTCTCCATTTTATCAATGATCTTCGTGATGACACCATAATTTAATTTATGATTTCACTTACATCTTGTCATTCTAAAATACTATTTGATCTTTTTGCCAACCTTGTAATCTATCTTAGAAGAACTATTGATGCATAAGTAATATTGACGTTTGTCCACATACCATTATCACTTGTCCCACTTATGATTGGTCTTCCAATATTGCATATTACAAAACTCACCTCTACCCAATCATCAACCCCTCATAAATAGCAAAGTACAAAAATGCTTGTGCTATGTGTTCTTTGGCATAAAGTTATTCTAACAGACGCCAACATAATTAACACCACCACACTTCTATCCATTCTTACCTGCCACTGCATGACATGAATTTTATGCTATAAAAATGCTCATTTAATGCAATAAAAATCTAAATTTCATTTGCAACTCCAAGTCAAAACAATATCGCAACAGAAATAAGAAGAATATGATTGTCAGATATAAAATAAACAAGTTTATTCAAATACATCTGGTGTGCATGATTTAAAATCATTAGAACTTTACTCATTAAATAATAAGAAAGTGCGAACAAGAAATATAAAGTGACTGACATCAAGCAAAATAATTGAACATATTATGACAATCTCGTCTTACTCCAATTACATAATGAAATCTACTAAATTTTACCATCAAGATAAGCAACTTTAAGCTGAAATTGTCTCGGACGTCTATTAATAAACAGAAATTTGCAAATCCCAGCTATTTTTTTAAGGAATATTGACCACAGAAACAAGACGAAGCAGCTAAACTGTATACAAATATCAAGGAAGTAAAAGCATCAGGCACACACCACACAAGTCAGCAAACTGTTAATGAACTTCTACTGATTACAACACGTACAGCTTTACATGAGAACCAGACGACCATCAAATGAAATGTCGTAAGCACCATTAGCATAGCCTAATGTCACGCATTTTCTAGCAAAACTATCGTCTCCATTCGACTTGAACCAGCTTCTCTGCAGCTCATACAAGAAACATGTTAGCATTAAAATATGCTGCTGAAAATTGCTTGTGACCAATATGACAAATTAATTATCCATGGTTGAAAACATTTATTACTAACAAACTATTGTAGTCAATAATACAATGTTAATTCTAGTGGTCAGTCAGAACTTCCGGTATATGATTGTTACGGCTTGACTGGGTTAAAGCCAATTTCAGAAGATTAAAATAAAAGCATAAATTTAACGTTATAAACGGCATTATAATGAAATCAACACAGGTTAAAGACTTTCGCAGGATGAATATTCTGTAGGTTCGTTTATAAATGCACGATTCAAAACTTATCAAGCCGCAAAAGTTCAATCTTGGCAAGGAACGGCTCACTGGTTAACTGTAAGACATATGACTAAGTACGATAAAATCGCTAAATCTAATTTCTCCCATATTTTACAATAAATATAGAGAACCTTTCTCGAATGAGTCTCACAAAATCCTCTTCCTCTTTAAATGCCAATGGTCCAATGCCTTCTCCAACAAGCTACTATCAAGGCATCAACACCATCAATGCCTTCGCCAACAAGCTTGTATCAAAACTCGCTTCTTTGTCATCAAGGGTTTTGAGAATTTAGGGGATGAAACTTAAGCTCATGACTCAAACCGTCTGTTGATGCAATGATACAAAAGTTTGAGTTTGATATCTTACTATTAGAAAATTGAGCGAAGCTACTGTTCGTTTGGACTCGAGCTCGACTTGACTCATAAGATCCTGGTGGCATCCAACATAATAATATTCACCAAAAAATAATTTTAATGAAAATCCTTTCAAATAAAGATGCATGACATTCACAATTTTTTTTTTTTTTTCAGGGGGGGGACTAAGAAAAGATTTTTTTATATGTGGATTTGCTTGCATAGCGCAATGATGCTTAAAGTAGAATGATAGTTGAAGGTTGAAACCATAGAAAAGAACAGCTGATTTTTAGTCAAATCAAAGGGAAAAATCAACAAGAGTGGCTTTAGTGATTGCAATGCATGAAGAAATGACAAAGTCATAAAAATACAGTAATATCGAAATTTAGCTTGTGCTATAAAATGGTGTCTGAGGGTTTGGAAAATTGTGTAGGATGGTTTTGGCATTGTATTAAATGAAATGAGAGCTATTGTATGATTAAGGAATAGTTGTTAACGCAGAAAAAAAAAAATTTAGTTCAAAAGCTATTGATATAGCTACAAAGTTGTAGCGGGTGCCTGACTACCTCTCAGATAGCATGAATATTACAACCCAACCTGTAGTGCCATCCTTGATTCTGGATTATAAATAAGAGGACAAGAGATAGGCATATGAACATTAAAAAAGAAGAGCCTTATGCGAAACATTATTATTTATTTCACGTCATATCTCTTAATTAAGTGAAATTAGCAAAAGTTAGCCAACAAAATTCCACCAAAAGTGCCCAGTTAGCCCCTTGAGATAAGTTAGATTGAGCGACTCATGCAATCAAAATCATCTTATGAACTTATCCTCGTATTTATTCAATTTGATTTATTGTTTCATATAAAAATTAGATTGCTTCCCAAAACATTTATGGATGCATTGACCTTTCAAGTATGGTGCATAGGGTTATCATAAAAACTTATTGTTCGTGAACAGCTGGTGTTCGACTCGTTAAATAGCTCGTGTTTGAATCATTCGTTAAGTAAGCGAGGCGAACTCAGAACAATTTTTTTAAGCTTGAATTATAAACGAACTGAACATGAACAACCCTTTGTTCAATCACGTTTTGCTCGTTTTAGCTCAAAATAAGAAATATAAATATATATATATGTATATATATATATATATATATATATGT